TTTTTATTTCCTTATTTTTTGCTAATCAAAACTGCCCCAAAATAGCTGATTTATTATAAGAATGAACGACAGTTTTGAAATAGCTGATTTATTGGACAATTTTTCTTTATAGATAGATTATAGATAGATATCATTTCCTTAATTATTGGATGGGATTTGTTTGGGATTTATTTATCTCAATATCAAACCCGTGATCTGCAATTAACGCACGTATAAATTATATTCATTTATAGAATATTAAGACATCTTTTACATTTTTAATTCGAACATTTATTTAAAACAAATCAGACTTCGACTTTTTTTTTTCTTTATTTAAATACAATAGTCCATACTTATTTATAACAATTCCACTTAATTTGAATTTTTCAAAAGAGAATCCATACATATCCAAATTAAGTCACGTAACTAAAAAATACTCATCAAATCTAATTTAAACAAGGTAAAATAATATTGACTCCTAACAATTTTGGAGATCAAAATTCTTAATAAAAACCACATCAAAAAAATCAATTTTGATGAATTACAATTTCTTAACAATCCATTCATTATAGAAAAAATCTTATCGCATCTTTAATTTGTTCACCCTTCTGTTCACACTTAATTTCATATGGAAAAATCCTATTATATAGATCCCTATAAATTTTAAAAATCTCATCTCTTATCTATTTATTCTAACATATTTTTTTCTAAAAAACAATTGTTTATGTGATTGTTAACAACGATAGAACATGTAATTACGTGGATAATATTGAATGATTTGGACGTAAAGCATGTAAGATTAAATCGACAGTGGCCCCGGTCCGAGGTGAACCGAGGTGAAGAGCCGTGATGGGCTTTTACGTGTTGCTGAGTAAAGTGTTTACAGTTCGGAGAATTCAGAGAAAGTGAGATCCCTTTACAATTGTCATAGGTCCGCTATTTATAGCAGTTTTGGGTTGATACATTGGGATCCGTGTACTACTTTTTGAATAAAGTGGCTTTTTATGGGCGGTTTGAGGTAGGGGGCCCCCACGTCAATGATGACAGATCTTGTGGAGCAGGAGAGTCCCTCGTAGATGCCTCGTCACCTGCTTAAGGAGGTGACGACCTCGGTTCATGTTGTCCTCGGAGGATGTTGACCTCGGTAGTCGTTGATCACTTCGGTCTTTGGTGGTTCAGACCGGTTCTTTCGTGTGGATCGGTACGGTTCTGATTCACGTCGGTTTAAAAGTTAATCGCATTTAATAGAATGCTTAAAACCTCTTAACAGCGTCTTGTCGAGTCGGATGATAACAGAGAGGCCCCCAACATCGATGGGCATACGGAGTGATGGTCGTTGATGTTGCAACATACGAAGTACTTAGAGACCCTGGATCGGCAAGAAGTCGGCGGTACGATATGGTCTATGGTGTTCGGTGGATCATCTTTGGTCGTTCTACCGATGTAACCGAAGTGAATTATCTGCCCGACGTGTAGACTGTATACCGAGGTGAAGACACTTGGTAAAATTTGCGTAACTTGCAGGCAGCTCGGACAGGAAAAAGACGAACAGTCGTAACGGTCAATTTAATGTGAGTGAAGGGTTGCGCCGTAATGACCTTAAATGAGGTAACGGTCGACTTTAATAGGAAGCCACGTGT